TTGTTAATGACTGCTAACAAGTATGGCTGAAAACACGTGCGGTATTATGACCACGTGACCAGTTGCACGTGAAAAACCACGTTTGCCACTATAGTGCTGTGCACATGATTTTGATCGATTCACCTGCACAAAAACGGGTGTTAACTGAATACAATACGTCGCCATTACTGTTTAAATACACAATACGGGCCCACAATGATAACTGGTCAAAATGTTAAGATTTTGAAGATTGTGAAGCTACAGGAGCTACAAGAGTCACAAGACTGTCCGGCTGGGCAGAAGCTTGTGAAGAGATACAGGGAGGGGAGATTCAACAGTGACAGGAGCTACAGGAGTTACAGGTGCTACAGGAGCTACAGGAGCTACAAGAGTCACCAAACTGTCCTGGTAGGCAGAAGCTTGTGAAGAGATACAGGGGGGAGAGATTCAACAGTGACAGGAGCTACAGGAGCTACAAGAGTCACCAAAGTGTCCTGGTGGGTAGGAACCTGTGAAGAGATACAGGGAGGGGAGATTCAACACTGACAGGAGCTACAGGAGCTACAAGAGTCACCAAAGTGTCCTGGTGGGTAGGAACCTGTGAAGAGATACAGGGAGGGGAGATTCAACAGTGACAGGAGCTACGGGAGCTATAAGAGTCACCAAACTGTCCTGGTGGGCAGGAACCTGTGAAGAGATACAGGGAGGTGAGATTCAACAGTGACAGGAGCTACAGGAGCTACAAGAGTCACCAAAGTGTCCTGGTGGGCAGGGACCTGTGAAGAGATACAGGGAGGGGAGATTCAACACTAGCAGGAGCTACAGGAGCTACAAGAGTCACCAAAGTGTCCTGGTGGGCAGGGACCTGTGAAGAGATACAGGGAGGGGAGATTCAACACTAGCAGGAGCTACGGGAGCTACAAGAGTCACCAAACTGTCCAGGTGGGAAGGGACCTGTGAAGAGATACAGGGAGGGGAGATTCAACGCTAGCAGGAGCTACGGGAGCTACAAGAGTCACCAAAGTGTCCTGGTGGGTAGGAACCTGTGAAGAGATACAGGGAGGGGAGATTCAACACTGACAGGAGCTACAGGAGCTACAGAAGCTACAAGAGTCACCAAACTGTCCAGGTGGGTAGGGACCTGTGCAGAGATACAGGGAGGGGAGATTCAACACTAGCAGGAGCTACAGGAGCTACGGGAGCTACAAGAGTCACCAAACTGTCCAGGTGGGTAGGGACCTGTGCAGAGATACAGGGAGGGGAGATTCAACACTAGCAGGAGCTACAGGAGCTACGGGAGCTACAAGATTCACCAAAGTGTCCTGGTTGGCAGGGACCTTGGGTGAGATGCAGAGGTGTGAAATTCAGTGAGAGGAGTAGCTACAATGGAAAAGGCGAAATTTGTAGCAATTACAGTATCAATATAAATTGTAAATGAGCTTCGAAGAGAAACACATACAAGTGCAACTTACAACACGTCATTTAATTAACGTGGATACATTGTCTGACTGGCGGTTTTTGTTCCATTTTCTGTTGACCACCCATTTCATCTTAGTTTAAACTGAGGCTTTGTGTAACTGTACATTGAGAGTAGTGTCTTATATACAAGGTAATGTTTTAAACGTCAGTCAAACCAGTTGAAGACCTACAGAATATGAAGGCACTATATTATTTCATTGCATTAATCACTCTTATATCATATATGTCTTTGTGCGTTTAATGTTTTAGTGTCCTAAGGAGACACAAAGTTATGGGCAGAGCTGCATCCATTACGGACCGACCATGTAATGCTCGTAGGTGTCAGACAACCATGCCTTTGCTCGTGGGTTTCACCAAAGTGGCACGTGACAACCACACTCCAGGTTTGTGCTCATGAGGTTCATCAAATTATTAGATGGTAACAGTCAAAGATTTTCATCGCTTTGGGCTTTCCTCCCACTCTCTCACATTCATCGAACGTAGATACAATTTTGAAAACAAAAACAAATAACTCAAAAAAATCTATGCACGTGAATGTAATGTTTCTGTTACTCAGACCGCATATGTGTTAATCATGAATAACATAACTACTAAAATAGTTGAGAGTCCTGTGATAAATATGATATATACATGCTGCCCCTGACTATAGGAAATGCATGCAGGCAAACAACTGATTCACCTGTCAGTGGTTTGTTTGATGTTCACACGATGACCGACCGCCTCCGTGGTCTAATGGTAGAGCGTCCGCCCGCAGAGCGGAAGGTCAGGGGTTCGATCCCCGGCCGCGTCATACCAAAAGACGTTAAAAGATGGTACTTCTTGTTACCCTGTCTGGCGCTCGGCATTAAGGGGCTAAAACAAGGACTGGTCGGCTCGGAGTCAGTATACTGTGTCTGAGTGGGGTATTCATGTTAAACTGCGGCATGGTATGTCAGTGTGCTAGCACTATAAATCGGCATCAGTCCGGACTAGTACAAGCAGCCACACACACACACATACACGTGCATGCACGTCGCTATAAAAGTACAATAATCTTGGACGCGACGTTAAACCCCATTTCACCTCACCTCACCTCACCTCACCTCACCTCACCTCACCTCACCTCACACGATGACCACGTGGTTACCATCCGCGCTATCTCTCACAAACTTGCTTTAAGTGTGATACGATCGGTAAACACTTGAGCCGCTTGATAAACGTATTTTCCACCGATGTATAATGAGAGATAGAAACATTTGGAAAATACTTGACAGTATTTAAACGCACACTATACAATACTCACCCGATATCGACTGTGTCCACCCAGCCAACACGAACATCCCAAATATACCAACACCCGCCAGGTTCACTTTGCAGGAAGTGAAATACCCCAGTCATACTAATCCTAACGTTTCGCACACAGGACAATGTGTGGACTGCACAAGGATACAATGACATATAATGTCCAATCACAGTGTTTTAATTGTTTGTTTGTTGTTTAACGCCGCACTCAGCAATACTCCGAGTGTCGAAAGGAAAATACGTGAATTTAACAAGAGAAGAAGAGGACACGCTCCGACGTTCATACAGCTTGGTCCTCATTCGAGGAGTTCGATTCCCGACGTGGGTACAATGTGTGAAGCCCATGTCTGGTGTTCCCCGCCGTGTTATTGCTGGAATATTGCTAAAAGCTGCGTAAAACCATACCCACTCACTCACTCACACATGGAAGTTTCATAAAAATAAAAAGTGAATTGAACACGAGGAGAGGTGGAGAAGCTCCGACGTTCACACATTCATTCGAGGAAGTTTCATACTCCAATGTGTCTAATTATTACACAATTTCAGTTAATATGTGTGACTATGTTACATTGACAGCCACAAAAGAACCAAATGCAACGCGGAATTAAATAGTTTGTCAAAAAGAGAGGTTACTCAAATTGATCCACAGGAACATCTGTCGAAGTTTGGTTGCAACAAATAGTTTCAAATATCAACAGCACCTCGTAAGAACTATAAATAATTTCTGTAGGTTCTCGATGGTTATACATGTGCAGAGATGGTCTTTTCAGTGATCCATTCCTGTAGTTTTAACCACTATATAATCTGTTTCTGTGGATTATCGAGACTGATTATTCCCCGGCGTTGGCGTTTTATGTTTATATTTATCATTGAACTAAAGCATTTATCCATGACATAAGCTTATGACATAAAAACATGTATGTCATACCCCAATGACATAAGTATGCAAATTAGATAACCGGAAGTGGGACTTTTTTCGCCGGTGCACGTGAGTAGGTGTTTACAAACAACATGGATACCTTTGATGTTGGAGACATTATTTCAATTATTCTGCAAAAGTCTGTTCAAGTATTTTGTTTAAATTAATCCGAGGCACTTTTTTTCTCAGCGAAGGAATATGTCATAAAGGAGTTAAGAGGTTGTTTATTTTGGTTTACACGGCTATGGAAAACATGTATCACTACGCACGATCTATACATAAGATTTCGACAAGTTGCTGATGTTAATGTTTAATGCAATTATTCCTTAATTGGGAAGCAAAAATGTGAAAATGATAAATAGAATTCATCACTCGTGTTTTTTAATATGGGAAATATCAACCTCGTCCCGTTAATCGTTATTTGCCTCGCCAAAGGCTCGCCAAATACCGATTAACTAAGACTCGGTTGATATTTCCCATATTAAAAAAACACTCGTGATGAATCCTCTATATATTCTTCATGCACATCCATGTAAATAATAGTTTGTTTGTGTTCAATGTTATATGTGTCCCTACCGGTTCTCTATGGTTGGATATGTGCAAATAGGTTCTTCATATGTATTCATGTAAGTATAGATTCGCGATGTCCTAACATGTGTATGCAGGTTCTCATCGTATCCATATTTATACATTGGATCTGCTTTATGCTTCAAAATATATTTCATCACCTGGTGACATACACTTTGATAGGAAAGGAGGTGAGGTGAAATGGGTTTTAACGTCGCGTCAAAAATTATTGTACTTATATAGCGACGTGCATGCACGTGTATGTGTGTGTGTGTGGCTGCTTGTACTAGTCCGGACCGATGCCGATTTATAGTGCCAGCACACTGAGATACCATGCCGCAATTTAACATGAATACCCCACTCAGACACAGTATACTGACTCCGAGCCGACCAGTCCTTGTTTTAGCCCCTTAATGCCGAGCGCCAGACAGGGTAACAACAAGTACCATCTTTTAACGTCTTTTGGTATGACGCCGCCGGGGATCCAACCCCGGACCTTCCGCTCTGCGGGCGGACGCTCTACCATTAGACCACGGAGGCGGTCTGATAGGAAAGGAAATATGTCTTCCGAAACGCTTGTATCAAAGTGGGCACTTGATGGATTGGATCTGGTTTGGAGATATATTATTTGTGTGATAATAACTTTCTTTGCAGCCTTCACGTATTATAATATAAGACCCAGTTTTCTGGTGATATCTCTCTCCTCAATGAAAAAACGGAATCAATACCTCTTGGACTGGCTATTCAATTTGGAGTCATAATAAACAACAGAAAACTGTCTTTTTTTTCTTTATTTACACTTTGTCGGCGTTACAGTTTAGGATTCCTCAGCACAACTTCGATAATAAAAAGAAAAGCAAAACAAATAGTCTAGCACTGTATGCAATACTAGTGTTGCGAAAGATTTCATTAGATTCACTCTTGCAATGTTTTAGTATATTACAATCAGATGTCAGTATACTATGAGAAACTGAACTGCAGCATTTACAGGAAGGCATATAAACTGCGTGACTAAACATGAAAATATATTATTTCAACATTTGATAACACAACATGATCACATCATCAGTAATACATATTTTGACACAATGCTGGTGACTGTTTTTACATGCATCTAGGCTATATTTATTGCTGTTTTTTATGTAACAGATGAAGATAATTGTATGTGCATAAACATAGTAATGCGTGTAACGTCGATATATTACTACAAAGGAGCACCTTGTTAATTTATTCACCTAAAAGAAGTGACGTGAATGTGGACTACCTAATTCGTTATATCTCTGTACTCTACTTACACCAGGTTACAAAAGGGATCATTACTACTGGATGTGATAGATAGATATTGTTGATTAACAACAACTATTCCCATGTCTCGCATTATGTGTTCAATTCCCCTTTTTTATTTATTTTCCGTCTGTAATTACAATTTTAGATTGTTGTGGCATACTTTGGTTGTATGTCATATTTATGGCTTCCTTTTTAGATCTAATGATATTAAATCCATTTCGAGACACTATAATTTGTCATTTCAACTAGCTTCGAGGTTCAATGTTTGAAAAGAAACATCAGTCACAAAAAAATGTAAAGAATTGACTTTAGAAGCCAGTCGCCTTATGAGTTAAATACACCCTACATGTAAACGTGTGTATGGATACCATTATGCCATGCTGAAGAAAAAACAGTGCACATGGTTTTAACATCATTATAATACCCAGTCTTGTAATTCAGTTGAAATACAATTAATGGAAACGAATGAAAGACAAGTTCGTAGTTGGTTAAAGTTCAATACAAAGTATTTTTTGTGAAACCAGTGCTGAAAGCTTCATAATTCATACAATTTAGAAAATGGTATATGTACAACAAAATGATCATTGAAAAGACGTTAATACATGTATTTGATATCCTGTATACTTCTTACTTTTGTCGTAAACCTTCAGGAAAACATACTTTTGTATTGTCATTTGCAGCTAATTGCAAATATATTTTAGTCTGTTAACAAACACGATGTCCACTTGCATTAGCTGTATTGCGGAAACCTCAGATACATTAATCAGAATGCTATTGCACATTCCTACTGTAAGTAAGCAAATGCTTTACATGTTGGCATAAAGTCCAAGAGATTCCAGTCGTCCTTGAGCGAACTCCAGACACAGGCGGACATCATCCTGGAAGTGAAGCCAACACGATAGAACTACAGGCTGTCACACATTAGCAAGTGGACAGATTTCTCAATATTAACCGAAAACAGTTGGTGTCGTACGAATTCATACTTCAAAATTATACGCAATAATCAAGGATGTGTTGGATCTCCATGATTTATCGTTCTAAAGTCACCTGTACTTGCATTCCAGATATCAAGGACAAATGGTTAAACTGTTGTAACTGTCCTACCTGGGAGAATGGAGGTCCACCGAGACTTGACTGTAGACGTCGCAAGTTGCTGATGACGTCCACCCTGCCGTCGTCCTTCAGTCTGCTGGCGATATTCACCAGGAGGACCAGCAGCCTAGCCTCGCTCACAGACCTGCGGTAAAGTTTCAGTACTCATTCACAAACACATACAAAACAGGTGCGAGAAGCTGAGACAAGCTCACGGAGCTGCAGTAAAAAGGCCATTCTCACTAAAATGTACACAAAAGAAAATATGGACACAAAACAGAGTATTTACAGGATTGAAATGAGACATGGTCGTTGATATCAGGACAAATGAAGTGCAACACTGAGCTAATCACTTTGTCGTTTTGATGCATGCACCTCCCTGTGGATATAGTTGAATGTTAAAGATTCTTATTGGAGCTCAATGTGATTCGCCATTTTGGTGTTTGTGACGTTACACGTTACACAACGACAATTTGTAAAGGATGACTTTATATAATGGAGAAATATATTGTTACGGTGTGTAACGACTATCAAATCAGATTTATGTCATTCAAATACATATCATGGTTATCAGAACCATCTACCTTCCTTCAGACACCGATAATGTTCACATTTAGAGCTACAGTCAGTTTAGTCAGATTTACAAGTTGGACAAATAGAACTTAAGATGATCAATAGTCTTATATAGTTACAGTAGGTGGTGTTTTAGGTGGCAAAATGGAAATATGAGAAGAAAATCTTCTTACTCTGAAACCAATGTGCATGAGCCTCGTTGTGGGTCACTCGTCCATGTCAGTAAGCTGTCAACCAACAGAGTAACACTTGGGTCACGTGCACTTCCGGTCAAATGATAGTGTTGTATGGGTGTGCTGACATCATCCTAAAATACAATTGTTTATCAAAACAATAGGTACACAGAAAGCATATTACATAAAATAGTCGGTTAACAATATTTCAGCAATATCACGGCGGCATACACAAGAAATGGGCTTCACACATTGTACCATCACATCAGTGTTATTAAAGAAAATGTATTTTACATGTTTCAAACCAGTGAGAGTTTTCAGAAGTTAACTTTCGAGCCATGCAGATGTTTGATGCTGTGTCGGTCACAGATACTTTGATACGCTCTTTTACCTAAACGTTTCCGAACATCATTTCTGCTAGGATACGTTATTACATTTGTGCAATGCAAAATGTGGCATTTGCTGCAATTCCCTGTGAACTGCTCATGTCGATGTGTACAGTGTTTTGATAAATCTATGCCATCCTCATGTTACTAACATAACACGTCAATACCTATATATTACTCTAACACAGTTGGGCATAGGATAATGATAATGAATGTCCAAAGCCTTGTGCCTTCATTACATCCTGCGAATTTAAAACTCAGCCTCGCTGCCAATCACAGATTAAACGAGAATAGTCATAACAACGCACCAGGCTGAGATTAGTGAATAGCTCACATAAAGTTGGCTCATCGTGGCATGAATATCATGTCCTTACACATAGATTAACCTTCAACAGACAAAAACGTGTCTATATAGGCATCATTTGCCATCGACCTGCTAGACCTGGCAGGCAACAGTGAAGTTATCACTCTGGAAACAACCACACTATGCTTCTTGCATAAAGTTTATGAACTGAATGTTCCCCTCAGCAGTTGATCTTTTAGTTCATCAGTATGTACATCGTCACGTCACATTTGGCAACATTGATGACTGCTTTGACTTATGTTTTCTTTTCTTTTGACTGTTTTACATTCGTTGTATTGAGATCCATAATAATCATATTTTCATTTCAATTCAGAAAAAGCACCGGCCTTACATTTACTGTAAGATCAATAGTGTTGAGGATAACATCATTTGATATAACTTCAGATGTGTGAATGCTTGCTGTCAGCCTCGATGAAGAGACAGTACTGTCAGTTGACGGGAGGTGGATCTGCAAAGAAATCGGTGTTGCATTTTCAGGATGTTCATTTGAGAATCCACTGAGATATACTGACACGTAACATAAGTAACTGCTGGCGTTTGTGAAGAAGAAAAGTCATTGGAAGCAAGTTAATGTTAGCATGGTATCTACATATGGCTTTTTTCAACATATTTCCCAAACTATTTAAGAAATATACTTACCAGTTGATCTGAAGCCCATGTTATCAAGGTGCGAGAGTCGCTAGTATACACCTGATTCCACACTTCCTCTTTGTCTGGGTGTGACGTTACTAGGAAGAATCCCTTCCTTGATGTGTACGACTGCAATAAGATGTAATATATTACACGTGTTAACTTTGTATGACATCCACTAAACCTTTACAGACAATGTGAAGAGGTATTTTATCAACAATGTTATATAAGGGTAACCTATGGTAACTTACTTCACATGATGGAAGAAAAAATGATTTATGTTTTAAATGTGAGTGTTGACACATCTGAGCTGCGAATCAGTGGGTGAAAGCTAACTATGTTTCACCATCACTTTAGGGGAATTATGTCGAGCTATTTATATATAAAGTATCACACTTACCGCTACTATGGTAATAGGATCTCCTGTAAGACCTCCTGAAAATAGTAAGTTCACTACAAAGTAGCTGCAAATATGTTGAGCCAAAGTCCTCATGTTTGTTAAAAGTAAGTGCAGTTTTAGGATGTGTGGCGTGAAAAAGAAAACAACAGTGTGAGGTAAGACTTACTTTCAGATTCATTTTCCAAAGCCTGCAATAAAAGTAAAAACATTTTCATAAAAAAATATTGAAAATGATTATTTATCACGTATACAGCCATCACGCTGATAGCTTTGGTACAAATAATTCAAAGTTTATATCATTCATGTCTCTTTAGAACCTTCATAGGGTTACATACTATGTGGTGCACCTACCTCAAGGTGTTCCTGTACAGATTTGTTACCCATGGTAACTGCAGACACATGACTGAGGTCTATCTGTAGGATGACGGCAGAGTCAAATGATGTGTCCCCCTCGGACACCGCCACAGCCACGGCCTGGTACAAGAACAGGTACTGCTCCTGGTGTGAGACAATGACAACATGATGCCAGGAGACCAGGATATATAGCACATGTGTGACACAGCCACGGCCTGGTACAGGAACAGGTACTGCTCCTGATGAGACAATGACAACATAATGCCAGGAGACCAGGATATATAGCATATGTGTGACACAGCCACGGCCTGGTACAGGGACAGGTACTGCTCCTGGTGTGAGACAATGACAACATGATGCCAGGAGACCAGGATATATAGCATATATGTGACACAGCCACGGCCTGGTACAAGAACAGGTACTGCTCCTGGTCTGAGACAATGACAACATGATGCCAGGAGACCAGTATATACAGCATATGTGTGACACAGCGTGTTGGTCGGGTACTCACTTTAGTCTGTATCATGTTCTTCCTCTGGCCTCGCATGTTAGAGACGAAACTGACGACGTCTACAGAGCACTCTACCGCTGCCTGATCCACGAGACTCTCTATAGCGATGTACGTACCAGTCCGGCCTACACCGGCGCTAGAGAAGAACAACAACTAAAAAACATGTCATGCCATACCTCACTTATACAGCAGAAGAGGAACAACTGATGTATACAACACAAAATTCCTCATTCATACTGCAAACTTTATATGCACCGATATATTCGCATCAATTCTTTGCATATACAACATATGTAATATACTGTCTTTCGGAACACATGTTTCTATGTATCAAAAAAAAGTGGCACGGTATATATAGGAAAGGTAACAGACACAGTGAATGAACATAGAAACAACATGTTTCATAAACATCAGTTGAGAATCCAGATCATATGCTGAGATCCAAACCATTGAACTCTAACCTGCAGTGAACTATGATAGGCTGTGTTTGACGTCTTGTAGTGACCTTGACCCTCGACATAAACTCCAGCAAGGCGGAAGTGTCGGGTACACCATGGTCCGGCCAACTTGTGAAGTAAAAGTGGTGAACATGGTGTATCTTGCCTTCCTGAAGAATTAAATGCATTTTATAGTAATATGGAATGAATAAGTGTAAATTATCAATGAGATTCCAGAAACCTTTTATCAAAAACAACTACAAATATGTATATCTTCGAAGAGTACCATTTTCGTAAAGACTTTTAATTATTGGGAGAAAACATACCTTTTCATTGTAAACAGACAATTCTGTGACTGTGTAGTTTGCTAGTTGTGTTTCTGTCTCCTTGGTAACTGAGATGTCACCGTAAGTGAGAGTTCCTTGTTCTGGCCAGTACTGGAGGCACTTCATCTGTGAATGTTGCAAGACTCAAACATGTCAAGTAGGATTAATATCTTAGTTCAAGTGAAACGGAATTATAAATAAAAGCAACATGAAATACTACAAGTTGAATTTTATCTTAAACAACACTGGTACAGCCTTTACAAAAGGAACCCTCTGTATACAGACTATTGTCATTGTGTGTGTGAGATCGGATTTTCTATTTGATATCACTGACCCTGTATTGATTTGAGTCCCTCGAGTTCGCCATCTGAACCTGGAACTTCATCGGTATTTTCTTTCAAGATTATTATCCAGTCACTGCTGAACATTTACATTTTGGGTGAGGAAACGTGTGGAAGATGCTTTATAAGATGAAATCATTACCTTCCCTGCCTCTACAAGTTCCGTCACCATGACAACTGTGGTACATTCCTCCTGGTAGATCATCCTCCAGAAATCCTCCACTACTTCCGGTCTGTAGGGGCCTCATAAGAATATGAATATAACATTATGTTCATGAAGAGGTATCCAGAAATAGAAATATAATGTAAAAAATGTAACTATTATTCCACAGTAGTAATCACAATACGTGGTTCTAGTTCACCAAATAATCCTGGAGTTTTATATTTGAAAGTTATATACACTCACGATCAAATAAAAGGATAAAAATAACTGTCCACACATATACCACTGTTGGTTCTCGTAAGTTCATGCCCTGTGTATGTGGACTATTTCGTTCATGCTGTCATTTTTTTCCCTGTGTGAGCCTTACCTTGTGCCGCTATGTAACGCTTTTCTGCTTTATATCCCTGGAGAGAAGTTCCAAATATCATTAGCAACATACAAACCATTGTATCAATAATGTAATATAAACGTCAATACTGGAACAAATAGAACATAAAACTGCCTTTACGTCAATTAGAGCCACACAACACAAGGAAGCTGTTTCATACAGTGATTGGTTGTTAGTTAACTGTTTGTTGTTTAACGACCCACCCGGCAGTACTCCTGCCGTATGACTGCTATCTGTAGATCATCGAGTCCAGATAATCTAGTGATTGATATAATGAGCATCAATAGACGAAATTAAGTAACCGAAGGTTAACCACTCGATCCATGTCGTCGCTTTTTACGACAAGCATATGTCTCAAGGGGTCAACTACAAGGCTGTCCCCATAAACTCAGTGTGTCAAGGAGTACGCACATGCTTCCAATTTTAAACCTGAACGTTTCACAAGTACATGTTATCTGTCGTAGCAAGAATAAATGAAATACTGCTCAGATTGCATTCCGTGTTTGATTGACAGCTGTTGCTCAACTCACACTGACGTAGCTGGCGTTGATGTAGTCGTTGTCTCTGTCGTCACTGACGTCGCACAGCACCACGCGGTTGTAGTTATCTGGCAACACATTGCAGTAACGAATACATGGTGGATTTAGAGTTGACATCAGATGTTGAAGCCCAGCTGACTAAAATGGACCTTAGAGTTAACATCATCACTCACTTCTACATGGTGTACTCACATGGGTAATAGCCTCTGAACCTGTTCTTTCCTTTGTTTCTGGGTTGTTGAGATTCGTCATAGGAGTGGGTGAAACCATTAGGAAGTCGCTGAAAATAGCAAACAAAGGAAACGTGCCACATACACACAAGGCTAACTATAGAGCAAATCACTAATTCTTCATAATTATCGTCGATAGCCAAGTTACATGCTCCGTTATCCAAACTTAGATCTGGAGGTCAGATCCAAACACTAAGTGTAAGTGCCTGGTGTGTGCTTAGATGTGAGTGTCGGTTGATTCGCTGATTCAGTCAACCATGGAAAATTGAGGGGTTACAGGATCTACATGTGCTTGGTGCATGCTGAATCATGTCTATAAAGATCTTGTTGACAGACGCAGTCAACCTTCAGAAAACAAGGATGAGCTGATTTGCTACAATAACGATCGTTTGTACGTGAGTAGAATTATATATTATTTGCATTTTTTTGTGAAGCTGTAAAAGAACATATGTATGCTCGTTTTGTTTTGTAAATACTCATAGTATCTAGCTGGGCAATGCAAACCAGTGTTGTTTTACAAGATGTGTCAGTATTAAGTGAACTGTGTTAGTCTTAGCTAATAGTCTAGCGCATTGGTGTTATTTGTAAACTAAAGGACCTGTTTGCAGTACAACTGACTCGATTTCATGATGACAAGCTAGTCATTTTCCAGGTTTGTCATATCATTGTTTCTACCATTTGTATAATACTACAAGTGGTAGCATGATCGCGAGGAAAACATAGGGTTTTATGCGTCCCGCGTCAGAAACGCATGAAACCCCGTGTACCCCGTACTGCTACAGTGAATTTATCTAACCGACATGTGTTAATCTGCTATTGTGAAAGAATTAAAACAACATGAAAATTGATAGAAAAGACCTGTTCGATTGCTCTGAGGCTAACTTGTGCTCTACTTCTAAGCAGGGTATAAGGGATTTGTCCTCCCGCTGAGAAATCAACGTGCAGCCTGTTTTCTTCGTGGCGGGGCATAAGGGATTTAACTGTCCCTCTCAGAAATGTATTTCCCTTGCAGGCGGGATACATAGTATTTTATCAAGATGACGTGGACCAATAAGATCTCTTCATTCTGACATGGAGGTATAATAGAAGTATTATAGCAGAACCTCTGTAAAACGGGATACTTGCTCGATGAGTGCAGCGGAGTGGGTCACTATGGTGGGAGGTTTAGTGTTATTGAGCGACAGACTGTTTCACATGCATCGAGCGACAGGTCACGAGGGACTGAACACGAGCTGCTGAACTCCCTTTAACCCTTGGCACACGATCAGAATATCCATATGCATGAGTATGTACATGTATGCCCTAATACTTGAGTCACAAAGGTATATCCTACATGTATGCAACAGTGCATGGTTGGATGCTGGTGTAGATCGGGTTCAGTGTGAAGCAGTTTGTTGTAGTCTACATAATGTCTTTGTAGTTGTATGTGCAGTTTTCTTTGAGTACGACACTTAGAGTTTACCCTAAATTCCTCTTCTGCCCTTGCTGGTGTCATTTCTTCCACTCTTGTCTGGAACTCTGAGACGGGAATCACGTGACCAAGTCCAGCATCGTCCAGGTTGTAGTAGTTTCTGTCTGGTGTGTCCTCAACCTGTACAGCATGGGCAGAGACGTCATAGTCTTCCTCCTCCTCTACTCTCTCGAGGTCATGATGATCTATTTCATTTTTACCTGTATCCTTGATCACCATCGTATACACATCGTCCACAGCAAAATCACCTTGTGGTTTATCCTGGCTACGAACAGTTGTTTGTTTAGCTGATGTATTCTTTGAAGACAACGCTGGTTTCTCGTCTTCATCAAATCCGACATTCATGTACATCCCGATGTCTTCCACTGAAGGAAAAAAAAACAACATTACTGTATAAGAGAATGACGACATGTAAAGTTAGTCCTTGTCATGTATGGCAGAAGGCAAGAAGTGTACAGCTTGGTCATAAGGAATCATGGTTGCATGTATTTAACCCCAAAGGAAGAAATATATATTTCACTGTCCAGGTCTATCACGCATCATATTAAATTCAATTGCTATACAAGGGTGTTGAAGTTGCATACATCTGTTCTTCCTCTTTGCATGGCATCAGATAGATTTTTCTATAACGTGAGCAAAGCAGCGAGATAAAACTACCTTGTGTGGGTTTCGACTTGTCAGCAATGACTTGCTGGTGTGTGAGGCGTCCTTTACGTGTCCCACGTCTTCTTCTAAACAGAAGGACATAAAGTGGAAGACATTATGAATAGGACCTGGACCTATTGTAATAAATGTGTACGCATGTATGATCTTCTAAGACATTACTGGGGTTTGACACTGGTATCACAAGGTGTCAAGGGCTGACCAGTTCTGCACAAAACTGACCTGATCAGGATGACTGCAAGGACAACAACCAGGATCACCACCATGCTGACAACAGCTCCTACTACAGCGGGGTAGGGAAAGGAGGTGGCTTCAAACTGCTGACTAGGGACTTGTGTGAGATCTTGTTCTAAATGTAGAATGGAAGATGAATACAGTTGATGTATACATACATGTGGGCTTCATTGATCACATAAACATCTGTTCATTTACACAGGCCTGTTTGTGTATACATTAAATCTATCTGTGTCATTGTATCAGCACCATGCAATACTGTCATCAAGTCTATCATTAACTGAAAGATGTTATCACTCTTGTAAATATTACTTTGACACAGTCACATGGCCAAGTCCCCGAGTTGTCTGCTTCACAGTCGAAACCATATAACCATGAACTCTTCTTAAACATGATGTTGCCCGCACATTGTCTACACTGGCTGTTACAGTCAAACCTTTACTCAGATACACACGGTGATACTCTAGGGTTAGGCAGTCGTGACATTCCGAAGAACGTGCAGATTGCTTTATTTCGTTTTCATAATTATTGCTTGACATAAGTAAATCTGCTGGTATGAGTTAGTATAGAGAGTTAGACGTGTCCTACATCAGTAAACGCCTACCCACATGTCTGACAGGAAGTGAATGTACCATCCTATGTTCCATACGCTTCGTCCGTTTATATTGGCCCTACATGGACAAGATGCTGAGTCAGTTATGTCGTACACACAGTCACAAATCCTCTCTCGGGTGATATGAAACCATCTTCTGTACAGTCAGGTTATGTCTCCCCTTTCTCCTATCCATTGTTACCTGCCTACTGTCTGTCACCCCACCTTAGTGATATCTTAGTATTACATGTACAGTCATCTCGTGTCCATCCTGCTTCACACCCACTGTCACAGTTCCCTGTTTGGTAACAGAAAAAAGAAGACAAAACAAACTTTATTCCAATTCTTCGGAATGGTCCAAGATGCAAATGTTTGCAAGAATACGCTTGATATGTTATAATGTTCCACCTCTGTGTAATACGCATAGCGTCTCTGCAGGCACCTCTGTTACTTGCATTTGGCATGCTTGCATTACCGATTCCTAAAGCTATACTGTCAGTGTTTACTGAATTGTTCCCACCCTGTTCCACAATATCTGTTACATCCCTTTCTTACAGACGCCCCTACCTAATGAACTAATATTGATAAATGTGTGGGAAGACAGCGTCCATGCTCCCTTGCATCGGCTAGTGCATGTCATGAACATTGTCACCCCACGTTAGTGACGCCCATGAGTGTGACATAGTGTTACTACCTGTACAGTCAGCTTGTGTCCATCCAATCTCACATCCACTGTCACAGGCCCCTGTTGAGTTACAGGAAGAATTCCCTTCAGTGTCTGGAGGAGCATGCGAGACAATTTGATCCATAATGTTTGTCATCACATTCTGGAATAATACGATTCATGTCATTGTCTCACCTGTTTTGCAGTCAACACCCATCCAGCCATCTCCACACTCCAAATCGCATGACCCTGTCACGTGATTACATGATGAGTTCCCCGCACAGCGTCTGTCAGAGCAAAGACTGGTGCAATTAGCACCATATGTTCCATTGGTACATTCTGTAACAAAACAATCACAAGAGATCATCAGGCCTAAAGAGGTTATCGGGCGTTTCACAGGGAATATAAACTGATTTTCTTCATGGGAACATTTTTCTGTAGTAGGCTTCCTTCCATCGTGTAACTTATTTATCTCACGTGACTTGGTAAGTAATGTGTCCTTTCTACCAATATACGTTCAGGATTCTTTACCTTGTGTGCAGTCCTCATCTATCCAACCAGGAAGACATCCTGTGTCACATGCTCCAGTGTGATGATCACATGACACATTTGTAGCTTCACATTTCCGCTCTGTACATGATTTATTGCAGTTTGTACCATAACTGGTTTTGTTGCAAACTGTAAAATATAGACATGAGCTGAAGATTGTATGTCGCATATCAATGAGTGTTGATTCGTAAAACGTGGTGGGAAGTCGGTTCATAAAAATGTATAAAACAAGTTATAAGGTAATGTTAAGTACCAAAGACCATTGACTTTGTCACACCAAACTTGACATTAAGCCCTTCTCACCTGTATCACACTTCTGTCCCCGCCACCCAGGTCTACAGTCTCCAGGACAGAATCCAGTCAAGCGATCACAAGTTGAATCCAGGCAGTGACAGAACTTGTTACAGTTCCCCCCGTAGATTCCTGGACTGCAGACTGTTGCATTAAGACAAGAATAAAGCATGTTACTGTACTGAGCGAGGGAGAGGACCCTGAGGTGAGGTGAAAAGGGAATTACTGTCACCTTCAACATTTGTTTCACTTTTATGTACTTGTGTGTTTGGCTGATTGTACTTGTCCGGGTGAATGCCGTATTTATTTTAGTAGCCGACTGAGATATCATGCTGCAGTTTAGCCTGGCTTTTCCATTCAGACACTTTATACTGACCCCAAGCCAGCCAGTCCTTGCTCCTTAATGCCGTTCCCGAGGCAGGGGAACAACGAGTATATTGATTTAGCTTCTTTTGATATGATGCAACCAGAAGATCGATACACCTACCTACCGCTCCCTGGCCAGATGCTCTATCCACTACACCATGGAGGCGGTGGGGAGAGGAAAGGACACAGGTGGGAAGAGTAAGGAAATGACACACGACCGATAGAAATGTTGTCTTCTTGTCCTGCATTCATTTATGAGGACTCATTTACGTGTACCTATTTATATTTTTGCTCCAGAATATCTTTGTTTCCATCTGAAACGTCATATCAGTGTTAAATTTATGGTTGAACCATTAAACCTAATTTGATCCGCTACTAGGATATTGCCAATATATATCTTACCTCCTGTACATCCTAACAGATCAACATATTCTTTTCAGTTTTTCTTCCTCGAATCAGTTTCAACACAAGATAACTGTGTATCATCAAAGTTAGTATTTACACTAATGAATTAAGCATAATGTAATCAATGAAGTTATCACACAATCAGTTTCAATCTAGCACTGTTTCAAAATAGCATTACGCACACCAAAGATTCCCCACAAGGGTACAATGTGTGAAGCCCATTTCTGGTGTCCCCTCGTGATAATGCTGGAACATTGCTAAAAGCGGCGTGAAACTAAACTCACTCACTCACTCAATACTAACCAACACAACTGGCTGAAATCGGCCCTTTCATGCAATTTCAGTTGTAAGGCGTTTTGTATGGACAACGGAGTGTGCTTCATAGGACAAGGGGAATTTGAAAACAAAATGTTGTTCAAATTGTTTCATTGTTCGTGTCACAAATGACACAAATTACAAAAATCAAGTACAGTTTCCACTAATATACACTTTCAAGCCTACTGCTATGACATGTATACATATTAAAATAGATTTTGATAAAGGATTATTTAAAAAGGTTTTTGCTACCTAACCTTTGGCTTGTGTTATTGATTTTACAAGTGGTTACCTGGGGAAAAGTACTTGTAGCCATATGGCTACTAGTTAAAGAATCAAACTTTGAGGCCTGTTGTTCGCAATAATGATGAATCTCCATTTTTAGCTTTTTTATAGATAATGTCTATATCTTATACTAAAGGACATCAACAAATGATGTGTTTTCACCATTGCAGCCCCAGAACCAGATTGTAAGTTCCATAAAGAATAAACAACTGTCAATGTAGTATCCAAATAAGTGTGAGGGAGAATGAAATTAAGTTCATTAATAGGGAGTGCCAATTTTGATCATGTGTGGACAACATCGCAGTTTGAAGTTCAATTCGGCTGAATATACCTGAAATGAGTGCATTTAGACACACGAGTGAGTGAGTATGGTATTAGCAATATTCCAGCAATATCATGGCGGGGGACACACGAAATGGGCTTCACACATTGTACCCATGTCGGGAATCGAACCCAGGTCTTTGGCGTGACGAGCGAACGCTTTAACCACTAGGCTTCACGACCGCCCTTTTGACACAAGAATAGACATGTAGTTATTAATGCAACAAACGTTTTACCATAGATTTCCACCTCACAGATGTTGAGTGCATCATCGTGTCCAGGTCCTTTCCCCGGGTTCCTGATGGTGACGTTTCTGCCGGCACCGTTACAGGTTACGTTAGTTGGGTTGGGGGTGGTGGATGGACTAGGGAGGGTGGAGCAGATAGCTGACGAGTTGTTGTTCAGGTAGATGTTAGAGTTCGCGTTTCTCAAGTAATCTGGTGTAAAACAAACAAGCTATGTATCAAACTACATCAGGCTATTACATTGTGTTAATAAAGTTGCTGATAGCTAATACATGAGATCACAAAATAATGTTCATTTAGCCTTTGTGTGTAAGAAAAACGTAACTAATAGCAGACACATTTAATTCCGAATGCACGTATCAGAGCAGGTGGGATTTAGAATTACATAAATACTCCCGATCGCTAACAAAGATTACACTTTACAACAGCACATTAATTGTAATTAATTGTATGCATGATCATGAAATGAACGATTTCTTGTGCAAATTTGTGTTTCTTAAATTGAAAAATTGTATATTCAGTCATCCTAATTTACCTTATCCTTGAAACTGCTTCAGAGGTCGTATTCATTTACGAGTTCCGTCTATGTATATACACAATAACTCACGAATGTACTATGATTCAACAAAAACACAACATTCAAACAAAAACTATGTCATTGTAAATATGTTGGTTGTGTAATGTAATCAAACGAAATGACATGAAGGGCTACATTTTCTTATATTTTGTTTCTATAGTTCTATATGTTTCTATACATTTCACATTCTATCAGTCTATCATGGCAGATCAAATATGCAGACAATCATTTTTATCCACCACAGATAGAGATATACGCTGTCCCGTAAAGCACCCAGTCAGTAAGAGCACCCTCGGCCACACAGATATTATTGGAACACAAGTCACTGTTTCACTAGATTTTCGAAACGATCCTAGCTAAGATAAATCTAAACAACTTACGTTCAAAGATAAGATATCTTGAGTGTAAGATAAAATAAATTTTCGAAACTATCTTAAACCTGTTGCAGTTCGTATAGTGCTACAATACCTATCGTGACTCTGACAGAGAACTCATTCATGTTAGAGATTAAAAAACAGGGTGTTTTCCCAATGACGTCACGGGGTTTTACCAGCCGCTGAAAATAACAACAACATGGAGAAGTGACACGGAATTCATGATGACTTAGACGAGTCACACTGTTCAACACGCAACTATTTGAGTGAAATTCCGTGATAAAAAATTGTCTGTTAAACAATTGCATTAAAAAAAACAGGTGATTTACGGCATATTGATGTTTTTCATTAAATACAACTGTAGATGACAGAAAGGCACTGTTCTTTATTTAGCGGTATGCGGTTGAATGGCTTGGCTTGGACAGGGGTGGTAACTGCGGGTGGATGGTTTAAGAGAAAAAGCATGCGGGGTGGCGTGAAATTTGAAAGTGTGCATCGCTGTGAGTGATAACCTGATGTACGGCTGTTGTCAACGCTATGATTCTGCCACGAAATTTGTAAGTAATACATTGCATATGCATGCATGATATATTTATTTATGAAAGGGGTGTAATTTAATATATTGTTCGTTTAAAGCCAGAATTATTTGAGAGTTACCACCGTGTTGTGACGTGTGCATGTTATTACCGTATTTTTTGGATTATTACTGAGTAAGTTTGTATTGTGACAAGCTAGCTGTGTTTCGGACATGAGAATATGCAAGTAAGTTAGTTGTTTTGTATGGTTTCAGCTTGAACCTGCTTCGTATGGTATACGTTGAACATTGACTGTTTGGATCACAGAATAAAGCAGTGTGTAAAAAAATGCAGAATCTGATGTTTATTGACTTTAAAACCTACATTTAGTTCAAGAAATTTCCACGATTGTGATTAAAGGGAAAAAGCTGTGGAATCTGTGAATAATGGCATTTAAAGGCGATGATGGAGATGGTGCTATTGCTGAAGCAATAAGGCATTATCGACAGGAAAGAGGTGGTATTAAGGCTGCTCTTACAAACAAAATGAAAAAGATTAGAGACTTGATGAACTCTGAGAATGTTGGTGAAGTTGAATCTACATTCAGGATCATAGAGCACACTTTTAAAAAAATTATGGATTAAGAACACTGAATTGCTTGAATCTGTGGTAAATAATCCAGATGAGATTGTTGATGCTAAAATATATATGGCTGAAGTTCAGGCTAATTATGATGAGCTAAAAAATGATCCGAAAATTTGGTTGGATACACAAGTAGGAAAGCTAGATGACATCAACCAGGTGATTCGGTAAGCCAAAAAAGGTAAGAGTAAAAGGTAAAAGTTCTGTGTTAACTTCAAGTTCCAAAATGAAACTGAAAGCCAAGAAGGCTGCTTTAGTAGCGAAAGCTGATATGTTAGAGAGACAACAATCACTCAAGAGACAGCAAGCTGAGATACAGCTAGCACAAGAGAAACTAGAACTAGAGTGTGAAATACATGCAACAGAGGCTGAAGAAAAGGTATATGAAGATTTTGAAGCTGAACTGACTCAAGGGTCACATATTCACAAGCGAGAAGGGCCTCTAAAGGGATTT